CAAGATATCCACCAAACAAGCATAATGCTCAATAGTTGGTGACACCCCATATTCTGACTTCATCTCGTTAAAAAGCCTCTGTCCCTCATCGATAAGCCCGGCATGGCTACAACCCGACAACAACGCAACAAACGTTACCTCATCTGGCTTGATACCAGACTCAATCATCTCATCAAACAACTCCATTGCTTCTTCTATAAAACCATTTACTGTGTACCCTGTAAGCATAGTATTCCAAGAAGTCAAGTCCTTACCTTGCATTTCATCGAACAGTCTCCCGCAGTAATCAATCTCTCCACATTTAGCGTACATGTCGAGAAGTGAGTTTAGCAGAGGGATATCAGGTCTATTGGCAGATTTTACAATCTGCACATGTATCTCTTTTCCACTGCGAAGCGCAGTTACTCGAGTGCACACAGATAAGATCGTAGTGAGGGTAACCCAACTGAACCCCATCCCTTCTCCTTGCATCTTCCTAAAAGCGTTCAGCGCATCAAAAACCTGATCTCGACCGGAAAAACTCGCAATCAACGAGTTCCAAGACACGATATTTCTTTTGCGCATTGTTTCAAACACCTTCAATGCACCCCCAGTACACCCACACTCCGCATACAACCGCAAAAGAGCGTTACTTACCACCTGATCCGGTTCTTCACTAGACTTTACAATCTGGCCATGAACAGCTCTACCGACTCTCAAATCAAACATGTCGAAACACGCCTTCAAGGCCGTGGAAAACGCGAAATTACCGGGCCGGAAGAACCGGGCCAACATCTCGCAGTAGAGAAGCAAAGCTTGCTTGGGTAGACCATTTCTCGAGTACCCAATAGCCATCGCCACCCAGACCGATTCGGGCACTTCTTCTCCGTCTTCAAGCCCGTCGAGAAAGACGCCGCAGGCCTCATCGAGGCGGCCGCAAACGGAGTAAAGAGTGATGAGCTTGCTTTTCAAGGTGGGGTTTTTGAGGAGGTTGTGTTTGCCACGGTCTCTGGCGAGTAGTAACTGCAGATAGAGTCTTTGGCCGTGTTCTAAGGACCTTCTTGAGATGCAGGCGTGGAGGAGGAGGGAGTAGGCGCCGGCGTCGGGTTCCGGGGCGGCGGGGAATTTGGACGGCCAGGATTCGATCAGGCGAAGGGCGTCCTCTAGTTTGCCAGATTTGGCCAGAGATTTAAGAGTTGAGTTTGGAGTTGGAGTAGGATAAGTAGTAGTTGTGTGGGTCTTGGAGATGTTGGGACCTGATGTTACAGTTAAGTTGGTTGGAACGGTTATGTTAGAGAGAGAAATGGCGGGAATCATTTCTTTCTCCGGAGGAGCGATGGGAATTACATGGACTGAATTTTAAATAGATTGGGCAAATTTAAAAGGGAAAAATAATTGGATATAGTGATAGGCATTTGCTAGCTTCTAGCTCTAGTTTACTGTTTTAAAAATATACAAAGACTGCTAGTGGTGCTTTGAATCAGTAAGTGCAACAGGAAACAGTGGATAAGGTCTTTGCTCTAACTATATAAGTTCATTATCTAGCATGTGGATTTAAAATTTTGAGGGTGATGAGAGGAAAATTTTGGTTTCCCAAAAGAGAATGTAATTTAGGATGGATAAAGTAGTGAGAAAAAAGTTGTAGGATATTTTCATTACAATAACATAATCATTAAAGACACGTTGACTTTGATCGCACGATTCAGTAAATCAGAACACACGCTCTATGAAAAAAAGAAGAAAAGCTAAAATTTCTAATCGGCAGTCACCATCTCTATTGCTCGAAAAATCCTGAGAGAAGCCGAGGTGAATCCTAACAGCAACTACAGAATTCAATCACATTAAGGT